GTATCTGCGACAGGTTCATTGAGCTGGACGAAGATCGGCGCTTCAGCATTAAGCTCGAGGAGACCTGCGATGTTCATACGGTACGCAACGACGACAATATTTTTTTCGTAATTAAGCACGACTTCAACTATTTTAACGTGTAATTTTCATCTTTTCGAATTCGACTAGCTTATCCCATGCTTTGCAAGACGCTATGTCTTGGAGAGGATGGGTTTTGAAGACCATGCAAGTTTCGAAACCAAAAAAATTATCCTAAGTACCCATCATGGTGTGGATTTTCAAGTAAAGCTGTACAATGCTCAGGGTGTAACCCATTTTGGTTGCAAAAATTGGGATGCATTTTGCAAGATGTATGGTCTTGATGAGGGTATGCTTGTCACCATGGATCTTGGTGATCCTACAATCGAGCAAGAGAGACCTTCGATTTGGGTCCTTGTGGATACACCTCCAATTCTTCCCTCATGTGAGCTAAACATAGTTATTAAGTAATTTATATTGTTTATTTTAAAATATATAGTTGACAACTTATCTCCATTGACAGCTTATTTTCATTCTTCAAAGAATGTGCGGAAGATGGTAGACAGAACGTACTACACCGAAGGCTCCGAATTAACTTATCAGGAGAAAAATCATCTGGTCGGATTTTGTACTGATCTTGAGAATTACAATATCTACAATCAAACTCCTCAACATTATAGTCAATACGTGCCACTAGTGCACGTGTTGAACTACGGTAACTACCATGGAGATACCCTAGTAAGATTATTTTTTACTATTACAACATCCGTGCATATTTTTGCACACTTCTAAAACTAGTACATCATTGCTAACTACGAAGTTATTACTATGTTTTTCAACAGATAATCCCGAATGATTGTGTGCCTCATCTGATGTATACGCATGGTAGCCTTCATGTTTTGAACATACAACCAGGTCGTCCTACGAATCTCAACTGTCCATACCGGGTTTCTAAAAGAAGTGGAGACATAACAATCAAAGAATGGAAAAAATGTATGGACAGTCGTAAGGAGCTTCTTGGAAGCAATAAGCAGCGAAGGGCAAGAATTGGAGACAGGATGATCGTCATTCTTCATACTGGAGAGTCAGGGTCTATATTCTTTTATGCTATTTTACCTTAAGGGTGTTTAGGTCCTACCTGATACAGATGATCATGTGCTAAGAACAATTATATAGGGTTGGGTTCGATGACTATGAGGATGATGATCGTATGGCTTATTATTAATAACGAGTAGAAGTTGTATGATGATGCATGATTAGTAGGACTTGTTATTATATATATATATATATATATATGATGATGATGTATGATACAAGCATGCATGAGCATGTTATATCTGCGGGTGCAATGAACATAGCAGCAGCGTTGATAAACCAAGGACGAAGATATAAGAGAGGACACTTCTCTCTATTAGCTAGCTATAATAACAACCTAAAAATAACCCCCAAAACCCCTAAAGCAGCCACTTTTGTAAAAAGAAAAGATTGACTTTTGCTCCCGGTTGGAGCCACCAACCGGGACCAAAGGCCCCTTGACTGGGCTCGGCGCACAGGGCCACATGGAGGCACATTGGTCCCGGTTCGTGTTTGAACCGGGATTAATGGGTGGAGGCATTAGTAACGACCCATTAGTCCCGGTTCATGAACCGGGACTAAAGGCCCTTACGAACCGGGACTAATGGGTGGTTTTCTACTAGTGTAGGTGGAGCTCGCCGAATAAGAGCGGGGCAGCTTGCTGCTCCACCTCCCTCGCATGGCCTGATGGAGCAAGTTGTTGCCCCAAGCCGGTGCGTGATTCAACAAATCGCCGCTCCGAGCCAACTTGCGGATGAGTGGCGAGTTGCTCCAGGCCGGCAAGGCGAGGAGCATAGCAGCACAGGCATCATCGCTGTTGTGGATGACGTGGCATACCGAGCCTCCTGTGCCTGTGATCGTGCCATCCAGCATCAACGTGCGCGTAACAGCGCCCTGCCGGTAGAGAAAGAAGCCGACTGCATGGAGATCGACGAGTCGGTGGCCAGCGCGTCCACATCCGCCACCAACATCGAGGTAAATTAGAACACGGGAGGTCGCCGCCGCTTGAGTCCTAGGATGGCCACCGCTGGTGCGTCGCCGGCTTGCACAACCGATGACTTGCCCCTAGTTCTTCAGTGTGGACCATCGTCCATCCCCGCCTGGGCTCCAAGGAAGCGGAGGTGCCCCCTTCCCATCCGACTGAAGCACCCTCTTTGCCACTCCGATGAGCGGCGCAGCCGAACACAAGGAAGATAAGGGGGAAGAATATACCACTGGGGCTCTCGGCAGTCCGGTGAGTGGTCTGCCGGGCATGGGGAAGACAAATGGATCTGCCGTGGCCGGCCGTAGACTAGTGTAGTGTATCAACGTCATGGGAGTGGAGCTCCGCGCGACCGTACGTGCACATAGTTTTACCTTTTTAGTTAAAAATATGTCCAAAACGTAAAGGTTTTCGTCCGGTTTATATGAAATCCAGCCGTATTTGCATGGATTCATCCGTTTTGTTGAAAAAGTGTTTGAAATGTATACAACTACGGTTTGATGACAGTCTACCACATCCGTGTCCATAGATTGGCCCCCTCTGTCCGCGAACGAATGCAGAAGGAAATTTAGGAGTCGCCATTGAAGATGCCCTAAGTGTAGAATTGTTAGTCCTAAAATAAATCATTCCCTGAATTAGTACAAAGGGACCCAATCTTTAGAGCACCATATTTTTCATAGTGCTTCCCAAATCTCATTTTCTGGTTGGTTGCACAACTTTTTAGCAACAACTTGTTACTAGTATTAAAAACACTTATATTATAGGACGAAGAGAGTACCATATAGTACCTAAATTGTATCTAGTTCTAAAAGAAATCCTACCGAGAAGATGTGTATATGATTTGGCATATGAGAATTTTGTTTCTACACTAAAAAAAGCATTGCTGGCCGTGACAGGAGCTGTACACGAGGGTTCATGACCTTTACATTATAAGAAGTTAAGGACTGGCGAACCAACCTGCGATTGGATGGTTAGAGGGACTGTGGTATCCTCAGCTCACCAGGGTTCAAATCCTGATGCTCGCATTTATTCCTGAATTTATTTCAGGATTTTCGGTGATGCGCATTCAGTGGAAGGAGACGTTCCCGTCGACGACGAGGTGCCTACGATGACTTCATAAATTTTAAGGTGATATGCCGGCTCAGTCTTTCGGAGGTGCTCATAGGGGTAGAGTGTGCGTGTGTGCGTTCATAGGGATGAGTGCATGCGCGTGTATATGAGCGCTTGTGTCTGTACTGATGTTCAAAAAAAAAGTTAAGGACTACCAAGGCGATTTGGGAAAGCCTTCCTTCCCTTTATCTCCGCCGGTGACTACGTGGATGCTATAACACGTTATTTTTCATTGGTTTTAGTCGGCGTTTGACAGATGACGACGCTCCTTCTTCGAGTCAGTCTTGTAGACTTTGACCCTTATCAAGTTTGTCCGTTGAGACGGATTAGATGGAGCTCCGGCATAGATTCCTGCGAGCTCCTTTGGGCAGCGAGGTTAGGGTAATCTCGCCGTGCGTACGCAATGGCGATATTTTGTGTGAGATTCTTCATATCGATTCAATAATCAACGGTAACGACTGCGGCTTCAAGGCGTTGGTCCTCAGGGGCACGTGCACGAAGACTTCCCGGTTGTTATCGACAAGGTCAAGCTGGCTTCATATGGGAGCGACGACAGCGGCGCTTCGGCAGCTTGTTCTAATGGCGGCAATGGTCGTTCGATGGTCCATGGACGTAGATGTAATTTTTATTATGTTTGAGGTACTTTGTATTTTCGATGATTCTTAGAATAGATCTGATCCTTTTCGCAAAAAAAATTAAGGACTACTCCATAATACTTTAAATTAAAGAAGTATATGAATTTAAACAATCAAATTACGGTGGCTATTTATTTCCATGGCGTTTATTTGTTTTTTAACTTCTTCACCCACAAAACCGAAAAGCTACCCTCTGACGTGGATCCCACATGTCACCTTCATCTGACCTTCTCCATTCTTCCCCTTCTCCTACGCCGCCGCTCCCGTCGCCATTGACGCGCCGCCGCATCTGCGAGCTCCCCCGCCACCACGGCCGAGTATGCGAAAGCGAACAGACTCAGGTCGACGCCGTTCTCCTTGCCCAACCTCACCTCTCTCAATTGGCTCCGGGGAAGGGAGTGCCAGCGACCTTCTATGGGCCGTCCTTATTCAGCTCGGTTCGGCCTAGAAGACGGGCGCCCACGGGAAGAGGCGGCACGGAATGGACGGCGGCTTCGGCCGACGGAACTAATGGAGTGCGTGAGTTACTGTTCTTCTTCATCCCCTATTCCCCACCTTCCTCTGAATTTTCCCACTGAATTTTCACGAACGAGCAGGTAGCACTGCGAGTACGCGGCTTCGTCCAATTCAGGCAAGTAGCTTTCGCGTAATTAATCGATTCAGTTTCTAGTTACAGGTTGCGTTCAGTCGACATTCGCTCAATAAATCGGTTCCTTGGCTCGGTTTGTCGGTTCAGCATTGTTCCTGGAGTGGAATGAAGGATTGTGACTTGTCTGAGGAGCGAGGACTAGCTTGTTCCTACAGCGACACGCTGTATTCAGGACCCAGAAGTGGTTGTCTTTCATTCAGTTTTGAAGAAGAAAATGAAAAACTGGCCAATTATGCTTGCTTGTGTGGAGCAGGGTGTGAGAAGGTCATTCAGGTTGTTAATAGGGAGGACTTCGGATGGGAGGTAGGTGGCATTCGCCCAATAAATCTCTATTCAGGACTCGGTGGTGTTGGTCGTCATTCAGGTTTTTTAACTGCTCAATGATGCATGCTTGTGTGGAGTAGAATGTTAGAAGGTCTTGCACGCGGTCTTTCGGCGAATCAGCTCCACGATCTGTCCAAGCATGGTCTACACGGCAAGCCTCCCAGTCACTTTCTTTTGAACTATCAACGGCACCAGCGGACTATATCTAATGTGTGTGCTCTGGAGCTTCACTTATGAACTAGACCTGCACAACATGAGCCTTCTCCTAGCCTTGGAGCTGCTGCCGCTCCTGCTTGCGTTGCCACGCCTTTCTTGTGCCTCAAATTCTACACATTCTTCACTGGATGGGCAAGCAGAGGCACTTCTCCAATGGAAAACTAGCCTAAGCGATTGGTCCAATGATCGCCTGGACTCATGGACAAAGGGAAGCAACCCCTGTGACTGGGATGGCGTTGCATGCAGCAACGACGTGCTGCATCGTGGCCGTGACCAGGGTGATGCTGCCCTAGTTGTGTCCAACATTTCGCTTGTGGGGTTTGCCCTTGTTGGCACATTAGACAGGCTCCACTTTCCAAATTTGCCCCATCTTGTGTATCTAGACCTTAGTGGCAACATTCTCCAGGGCTCAATCCCATCAAGCATTGGTGCTCTTGCCCAGCTCACTCACTTGGATTTATGCTGCAGCATTCTCCAGGGCTCAATCCCGTCTAGCATTGGTGCTCTTTCCCAGCTCACTCACTTGGATCTATCCAACAATGAATTGAATGGATCTATCCCAACATCCCTAGGTAATTGTACTAAACAAACCTCCATCTATCTCTTTTAATATAGTTTGTTTCTACCATGCCTAGTTCGGTTGGAAGACTAGGGAATTTGATGAGCCACTCCACTTTGCAGATTTGCCTCATCTTGTCTATTTGAACCTTGGTAACAACCACCTCTCGGGCGGAATCCCTTCAAGCATTGGGGCTCTTGCGGAGCTCACATACTTGGATCTGTCCGTCAACGACCTGAACGGATATATCCCACCTTCCATAGGCAATTGTACAAAACTATCTTCCCTCGATCTCTCTTACTACAATTTGTTTCTACCATGCCTAGTAAAGTAGGAAGACTAGGGAATTTGATGAGCATCTCCATTTTGCAGACTTGCCCCATCTTTTTTATTTGGACCTCGGTCACAACTCTCTCTCGGGCCTAATCCCATCAAGCATTGGTGCTCTAGCCAAGCTCGAAAACTTGGATCTGTCCGGCAATGACCTGAACGGATCTATCCCAACATCCCTAGGTAATTGTACTAAACTTACCTCCATCGATCTCTTTTACTACAATTTTTTCTCTACCATGCATAGTACAGTAAGGACGAATTTAATGAGCCTCTCCACTTTCCAGACTTGCCCCATCTTGTCAATTTGGAGCTCAGTTATAACTCTCTCTCGGGCCTAATCCCATCAAGCATTGGCGCTCTGGCCAAGCTCGAAAACTTGGATCTGTCCGGTAATGTCCTGACCGGATCTGTCCCAACATCCCTAGGTAATTGTACTAACTAACCTCCATCGCCCTCTTTTACTACAATTTGTTTCTACCATGCCTAGTACAATAGGAAGAGTAGGGAATTTGATGACCCTCTTCACTTTGCAGATTTGCCCCATCTTGTCTATCTGAACCTTGGTAATAACCTTCTCTCAGTCGGAATCCTATCAAGCATTTGTGCTCTCGCCAAGTTGGAATACTTGGATCTATCCTTTAGTATTCTTAATGGATCTATCCCGCCATCCATGGGTAATTGTACAAAACTAGCCTATCTTGATCTCTCCCATAATTTTTTGTCACAAGGATCCATTGGAAGCATAGGAAATCTAACGAGTTTACATTACCTAGATCTTTCCCACAATCAAATAAATGGTTTCTTCCCTTCGACCATTTTTAAATTAGCCTCTCTAACAACATTGGCACTTGGATCCAATCAGCTTAATGGTCTATTACCACCAGAGTTAGGATCACTTGTTCTTCTCTCATATCTGAATCTTTCCAACAACCAGATCACGGGTTCCATTGGAAGCATAGGAAATCTAACGAGTTTACATTACCTAGATCTTTCCCACAATCAAATAAATGGCTTCTTCCCTTCGACCATTTTTAAATTAGCCTCTCCAACAACACTGGCACTTGGATCCAATCAGCTTAATGGTCTATTACCACCAGAGTTAGGATCACTTGTTCTTCTCTCATATCTGAATCTTTCCAACAACCAGATCACGGGTTCCATTGGAAGCATAGGAAATCTAACAAGTTTAGAACTCTTGGATCTTTCTAACAATCAAATAAATGGTTCCATCCCTCCAACCTTCTGGAAATTGATCTCTGTTACAACACTCTCACTTGATTCCAATCAGCTTAATGGCCTATTACCGCCAGAGTTAGGATCTCTTGTTCCGCTCACAGATCTGAACCTAAGTAGCAACCTGTTTCTAGGAAACATTCCACCTGAGATAAGACATTGCCACCATTTATCATCGTTACTCTTATCAGACAATTTATTGACAGGAGAAATACCACAAGAACTTGGATATCTCACCAATCTATATCACCTAGATTTGAGTAGAAACAATTTAAATGGTGCCATCCCAACGACTTTTTCTGATCTTACGCAACTGTATAGACTGAAATTATCATATAACTATTTGGCTGGCAGAGTTCCATCTACCGCTGCAACATTGATCTCACTTGACCATAATATGGATTTATGCGGCGATTCCTATGACCTAAAACTGTGTGAAACACCGAAGCTCGACATGGAACACCTAAACAGAAAACATTCACGTATGGTACTTCTTGCGTTTTTTGCATCCTTTTCCTTCGCTTGCCTCTCAATAGCAAGCATCTTGGTTGTTTGTCGGAGAAAAAAGTGTGTAAAAAGTAAAAGCAAAAGAAAGTCTGGAGATATACTTTCTATATGGAATTTCGATGGAAAGATCGCATTCGAAGACATAACCGATGCAACAGAAAATTTCGATGAGAAATATTGCATTGGCATTGGGGGCTATGGAACTGTCTTCAGAGTTGAGCTTGAAGGCGGGGTTACCTTTGCCGTCAAGCTCCTGCATTCAATGGAAGAATTCAGAGACGAGGAAACATTTCACGCTGAGATTGAAGTGTTGACGAAAATTAGGCACCGATGCATCGTCAAGCTGTATGGCTTCTGTTCACACTCCCAATGCAAATTCCTCGTGTACGACCTTATCGAGAGGGGAAGCTTATCATCCATTTTGCACGAGCAAGAGCTAGCAAAGGAACTGGACTGGTCAAATAGAATTGCTATTGTGGCGGACGTAGCTCAAGCTCTCTCCTATTTGCATCATGATTGCGATGATCCTATTGTACACCGGGACATAAAAAACAGCAACATTCTTCTGAACCAAGATTATAAAGCTTATGTCTCGGACTTTGGCATGGCGAGGAAGCTGAAGCATGGTTGCTCAAGCTGGAGCACTATCTTCGCAGGGACATGTGGCTATATAGCCCCAGGTACTCATTGATGGTCTTAATCCATCTGTATCCTTCGATGCTATGAAAATGCGTTCCAGAAAGGGAGAACCAAAAACTGATTATGTTTTGATATACTGATTTTTTGTTACAGAATTGTCATCCACCATGGTGTTGACTGAGAAGTGCGACGTGTACAGCTTCGGTGTGGTTGCGCTGGAAGTTGTGATGGGAAAGCACCCAGGTGATTTGCTCCTTCCGTTCTTCTGCCGAACAGAGCAGCCAGGGAAGTTCAACGATATCCTGGATCAACGCGTCGCAGCGCCGTCAACTATCAATGAGGAGAAGGATGTCATTTTGGTTGCCTTGGTGGCCTTTGCTTGCCTGCAAGTCAATCCTAAAGCCCGGCCAACAATGCAGCAAGTATATCAGGCACTGACAAATAGAAGCCGCTCAGCTTTCATGCCCAGGCCCCTTCACGAAATCAGCCTGCAAGACTTGCACGATTATTGCGTTATCATAAAGAATACATGAAGCTATATAGCTAGTCTCTGTGTTTTCAATTATAAATTTTCCCCCGTGTATTTGCATTTGTGTGTAGAACTTGAGGACAGAAGGATGGATATAATGAGTAAAATACATGCTTTGTACATTGACTCGGTAATAACTTGGTACTATTTCTGTACCGAAAATGGCAAGGTTTGCCAAAACATGGATGAAAATATAAGCATTCCCATTATCTTGGTCTCTTCATTCAACTGTAGGCATAATTGTGAAAGTAGATGCATGCATCAATTTTTTTAAGGAGAATTGGTACATTATGTTTTATTGGAAACTGATACAACAGGCTGGATGTTTAACCGACAAAACATGAAGCAACTGAAGCTTTTCAGCCTATAACTTGCAACTGTGAAGAGCCCGTCTACATATGCGCATTGCTTTGTTTTTTTTACTGATCAAGTATATATTGACGAGTACAGTAAAGTGCCAGACGGCTTCCTGAACTCCTCTGTGCCTAGGCTTCTTTGAGCAAGAAATATCTTTTGGAGGACATGGACCAAATCTCCAAGGTGGCACCCAACCTCATCGTGACTTGCCGGTGAGCATTGTGTTTGATTTTTTAGGGAGCAGGTTGGCTTTGCTGATATATTGAGGCTTTACTTGCAATAATGTTATCAGAGCCAGGTAATAGTTTGACCTGTTTTATTCTCTGCCTTTTCTTGTAATTTTCTATTCACATTGGCCAGTGAAGGTCTTGGACCTGAAGCTCTGACACTCCAGATATGGCTCCTGCAGCTGGATATGTTTAAGATTGAGAAGAAATTATTTTTACTTCAGAGGGTGGTGATTGCTGATCAACTCACAGCTGGATTAGAAGGTACTGCCAGAACTCTGAATGTAATGGCCAACATGGAAGGAAGAATATTTGCTTTGGACAAACACGCGTGGCTGATAACTGAAGTTAATTTCCATCCTTTTTATGTGCAATGCTCTGAGCTTGTTCCTGAAAACATATTATATATACTTGCAGTTTCTCAATACTGTCTCACCTTTTTTTTTCAGGACAACAATTTTTGTATGGAGGTGGAGCTGCAGTGCTAGCAGAGGGAAGAGGCCAGCGAAGAGATGCATGGCCACACAGCAAAGGAGATCTACTGGGTGAAAATATGAATAAGAAGACCATGCGCAATTTGGCACTATCATATCTGGCGCTAAATATGTTTCATCACCATATGTTCAGTGATGAAGGAGCTTGCGAATTCTAGCCGCCGCCAGAACCACGCGCGACTCGTCCTCCTCTGGCGCTCCCGCGGGCGGCAGGGGAGGAACCCTAGCCGCTGGCCGCCCCTCCACCTCTCTTCTCCTCCTCCTCCTCCCGCCGCCGCCAGAGGGCGCGCCCGGGCGAAGCCCGGCCGGCGCCGGCGGCGGCGGGGCGTCTTCATCGCCTCGTTCGGGAGGGCTGGCGCGGGCCGGCCGACCTGGATCTGGTCACGGCGTTCTCGCGGGGCGCCGCGGCGCGGCCCCTCATCGGCGCAGGTTGGCACGCGGGTGTGCGGGTGGCGTGATGGGCTGCTCCTCGATGGTGCTCGGCTGGTGTGGTGACGGCGGCGGCTCGATCCAGATCTGGTTGGGGCGGGCTGCGGGCGGCTTCCTCCGCCGTGGCCGGCTGGCGGAGGGGTCGGCGCAGCAGTGGTGGCCTCGGCCTCGGCCTTCCCCTCCTCTTCTTCATCCGGGGGGGGGGAGGAGGTGGGATGGGCCGGGGGTCGGGGATGGCTGCCGGCGCCGCGGCCAAAGCTGACCTCGCGGCGGCAACGCTTTGGGGTTGGCCGACGGATTGTGGTTCCGGTGGTGCGTGCCCGGCGGTTTGGCGACCCGTGCACGAGGGATGGAGGTCTTCGATCAAATCCGGGTGAAAACCTGCTATTGGCGATTGCCAAGGCCGGCGATGGCGACGCTGTCTGCGTCGTTCCCTTCCTGAAGGCATCGTCGTGAAGAAGTTCAAGGCCACTCTCTGCTACCTCCGGGGGAAACCCTATATCAGTAGATCGGATGACGGCGGCTCGCTGGTGTCGTTTCCTCCCGGGGGCGTCATTCTTGGAGGTGCACACGGGCTCGAGGGACTAGAGGACGGTGACTTTGGTGGAGCGGTGCTTCATCTTACACATTGATGGTGGCGGATCTCGGCGGCGTGGCGCTGTGGAGACTCGGCGTCTGATGCGCGGAGATGGACTCGTGCAGGAGGTGGAAGCTGTCTGGCGTCATGGTGGCGTTGATGGCAGATAGGCCTGGCAAGGTCGGTGCAACAGTACAACTCTGAAGATGGATTGGTGGCAGGCGGCTGCGGCGGCCTCATACCCGGCAGGGGTCTTGGTTGAGAAGCACGCCGGACTGGTGGGTGCCCATACCAGGCAGGCGTCCTGGGTGGGACCTCAAGTCTTTAGATGTTTAGGTTTGGCTGTGTGGTCTGTTTGGTATTAGGCCCAGACTTTCAGCGCCCCTACATCAACTGGATAAGGATAGCGACAATTGTTGCTTGTTTTGGTGGCTTTAGACTTATTGTTGTATGACTCTGTACGGTCTTGTGTCAATAATTAATAAAATGGCCGTATGCATCGTCCAGATGCAGAGGCCGGGGGTCGTCCTCCTTTTCTAAAAAAAATGTTCAGTGATGAAGCTCGCAAGAAGGATGTTGAATGGTGAGCTGTCTGTCAAATGCACTGTTGCCCGTTGGTACGGTGGACCGTTGGCTGAAGGTCGCCGTGTTCCAAGGGCGATTGACATGCTTATGATGCAGTGGGCGTTACACCCATGAAGGTTGCTTTTGGTTGGATGTATGTGCTGGCTCTGCAGTAATTTTACCCCAAGTAACATCAACGCGTCGCTGCATTTCTCGCACACACTACGAGCAGCCGCATTGCTGATGATGAGCAGATTTATCATCCAAATTTTCTCGGCCATGTCATATAACCTGTCCAGCCACACGAAGAAACGCCAGTTGTTCACCAAACATACTAAATTCAGCAACTTGTTTGAACCAAACATCAGGGGAACCATATGATATACTACTTGACTCTTATCCTTGTCAGTTGTCACTTCACTGAGAATTTGGCATCCATATTGTAGACATTCGGTCAGAGTGAGCCTCATCATCCCTTTGCGCTAGCCGGGGCTGAGTTGAGCTTCTCTGTGACATGCCCTGAGGTGCCATGGTCCGGAACAGAGACGAAGGGAAGCTAAGTAGAGTCGGTCACCTGGTCACGGGAGTTTCCTCGCACATGCCGGGCACATAGTCGACTAGATAATCATTGCAGTAATTTTGACTACTACTCCCTCCATTCCAAAATTACGGAACTATCCTCAATAATTTTGAACTAGAACACGACAATAATTTTGGAACGGAGAGAGTAATTCTTTTGATGTGATAATTATCCTCAAATAAAACAATGACATGTCATATGGTTATCAATGATATTTAGACATATTCCTTGTCTAGTAGTATATCAATCTAATATGCTTTCAAAAAGTAGCACTGGTCATAGCTTGAATAGAGGCATCCTAGCTACTAGACTTGGGCTTGTATGGGCAACCCATGCAACAAGGTAGATATGAAACATGGATTATGCTGCACCGGAAACTTTTCAAAATGGGTGAACAAAATTAAAAAAATTAAGTACAAATTCTTGTAGGAAAATATCAGTGCTAGCACAGATGACAAATCGTTTTTCCTTAACAAAGATTATTATTTTGATTTTTTTTCTGTATCTATAGGTCCACATTGGGTAGAACTCAGTTTGATCTATAATCTTAACATCAAATGCAGTGGGAGAGTGACCGGTAAACGAGATGCGTATGCCAATAAGCATGTTTAAAAGAGATGATTATGCTAGTTAGCAACATGCCTAATTACTGTGTAGAAAACTATAGGATGGATGAATATTGTTGCTGTATTGATCTCACCCTTGTATGGGGGTATTTACAGAATACATGAGGAGTAGAGGCTTAGAGTACAAGACAAGTCATAGATGGTTTAAACCTATTTAATCTCTACTCCTTATCTCTATCTTTGAACCCATATCATATTCTAACATTCCCCCTCAGTCGTAGCGGGAGTGAAGCGGACGATGACGACTGAATTTGAACTCTTGTGCTTCCGTTGTCTTCTCCGCTACGCCATCATCAACTGCGTCTCTGATGGGTCGGCACCTAGGGCGGTGACTGCGTCCCCTTCTGATGCCTTCCTGCCTTCTCCTCTCACTAGTGCAGAACCGGGCATTAGCACCGGTTCGTAAGGCCCTATAGTGCCGGTTACATAACCGGCACTAATTTGTGGTCACTAAAGGCCCCCCCCCTTAGTACCGGTTCAGCACGAACCGATGCTAAAGGGCAACCACGTGGCACGAGCCAGCTCCGGGGGCCTGGAGCCCTTTAGTACCGGTTGGTAACACCAACCGGTACTATAAGGTTTGGTGGGTTTTTAGTTTTATGATTTCTTTTTCATTTAATTTTGTGTTTCCATTTTAATTCTTTTTCATTTGCTGGTATTTTACGATACTACACATTGTACACGTTATGCATCATACATCATGCATGCTTTGTTTATCAACGCTGCTATGTTCATTGCACCCGCAGATATAACATGCTCATGCATGCTTTGCATCATTA